GGGTGTGGGGGTGTGGGTGGGGGTGCGGGTGTGGGTGTGGGTGTGGGTGTGGGTGTGGGTGTGTGTGTGGGTGTGGGTGTGGGTGTGGGTGTGGGTGTGGGTGTGGGTGTGGGTATGAGTGTGGGTGTGGGTGTGGGTGTGGGTGTGGGTATGGATGAGGGTGTGGACGAATAGAAGACCTATATCCACACCCCACCTACGCCTACACCCATACCTACCCACACCCACACCCATACCCACACCCACACCCACCCCCACCCACACCCACACCCACACCCTTGTTGTAATTTTCACAACTAAGATATTTATTTTCTATATTATTAGAACAATACTAACCAGACATCTTTACTCAGGAAAATAACGATTTCATCATACATAAACTCTAAAATTAAAGTTTACTACTGTAATAAATGTTTTACTTTTAGAATTTATGTTGAATCGAATGATCAAATTTTAAATAATATGAAAATGAACCAAAAAAACTGTCATAACTATTTATCAATGATTTTTAAAATCACTTATTTTCAAAAATACATGAAAAATATATATAACATTAACACATCATATAATAAAAATGTTTCTTATTATCAGCTAAACCAGAAACTTTATCATCAAAAAAAATAGCTTTTTTCATATTTTAAAACGAAAATTCAATTATGTTTGTATTATGTAATATGCCACGCATTTCAAATATAATTTATTTCTTTCAAAGACCTTATTGTAAACAATTCATTCTTATGCAAAAATATAAGCATATCTTTGACATCAGTCCCTCAGTCTAGGGCCCAGTGAATCGACTTTCAATGTCGATGAACCTTAGTTGTATATTTTTGAATATAGAAGATGATCAGTATTTAACAGGTCCATTACCATTAACATCAAAATCAGAATTAATTTGGATGAGATTTCTTTCAATTTTTTTAATCTTCTTCTATTTGAAGTTTTTCTGATAGTGGAAAAGTTTTTACTTGGAAAAATTTGATCATTTAAGTACGCTTAGATGTATCACAGAAAATCAATTGAAACCAATATTAGTTTCAATTTCAAATCTTAAAGAAGAAGTTTATTTGATTGAATAGATAAAAAAAAACGAAGTCCATTATTTTTTCTTTCATTAGAATGAAAAAAAATAATATAACAAATTATTGGTTATTAGGAATAAATGATTTTAATGGAAAATTTCAGTTATGTGTTGTTGAACTTCGTGGTCAATTCTATCCGAATCTTGGTGATGATGGAGACGAAGCATATTGAATTTCTTTTTGCCTTTCTTTTTGATCCTTTCTCTATTCAATTAATTTATCTATTATTTTTGTGCTAAATTTATATTTTCCGATTTTGTGCCGTATTTAATTGCTACTTGAGCAGCTATAGAATTCATTAATCGGCATATTTCAAATGCACAATATTCTTGGTTGGATTTACATGGTAACTAAATAAGACAAAAAACATTTGTCTTTAAAATCATTTTTCATTTCAAAACTTACAGCAAAGATTTTAATTAAACCTTGTCGCCCACTATAACAGTATTTATGAATTCAATTGATTTATTTTAGATGAAACGCATTGTTGTAACTATTAAACAGAAAACAGATCATGATATATTTTTAATTAATCAAAGAATAAAAGTCTATGGTGGTGTTGATGGTCAAACACCAAGATTATAGCTTACTGAAGATGGACATGTTCCGAAATCTATTGCCATTAATGTACCGGACGGCATCAACAATTGTTTTTATCTTTGTGTTGGTATAGAAAATAAATCTGATGAACGTGTAAATTATTCATCAAAGAGAGTGAAGTTTGATATCCCAAACATCAACAACATCTTCAAAGAAATTATTGTCGAAGATATTTTGAAATAATTTTATTGATAATTAAGGATCTTCGTACTTTTTAGATGCAAGTGGTCCAATATATATACAATTACAATGAAACAGATGCACGTGATCTAGTACTTATACAAGTGTAATGAATAGTTGATTTACCAGCTAAAGTTGTTCATTTAAAAAAAAGAAGAATAAAATAAGATAAAGTAAACTTTGTGTTTGTTATTCTATTTGTGAATAGCAACAAAATATTTGATCAGTAAAATGATATATAAATGATCAGTTTAAAGATTGAATGATCAGCAGTTCAATGATCAGTAAATAATAAGAAAATGATCAGTTTATTACTTCCTCGACTGAAGAATGGGTTATATGAAAAAAAATGAGTTTGTGTGTATGTGTGTTTATAGACAGGATAAAAAAAACATGGCCTTAAACCTTCTATAAATGTACCCATAGATTCTCTAGTCATATATGGGGTATCCATAGGTCCTCAAGTTCTATCATATGGGAGTGCCCTTAGATTCTCATCTTCTATTGTTTAGAGGTACGGATGTAGGAATAGCAATACCACTCAGTACCAATTGCTATGGGGTGTTATAGATATTGGTGTAGGAGGCTGTTGATCCCTCACGTCAAACATCAATATTTTGAAAAACTGACAACGGATTCGGATTCCTTGACCTGGAAAACCTGTGATCGAACTTTATAAAATATGGTTATCTTCGTAAACTAATCTATTCCTGATGAAGAAATTAAAAATGCATAATAGGTTTGTCAAAATTTTCAAATTTGACTTTTTCGTTAAAACAAGCTTAGTTTTCGAAAATAACGATTTATTGCAAAGTTTGATCAAAGGTGTCCAGAGTCGAGGAATCTGAATCCATTGTCGGTTTCTCAAAATATTGATGTTTGACATAAGAGGTCACCAGCTTCTCCCTTACATCAATACCAGTTCCGATTGGTATTGACTGATATTGGTATTGTTACATCTATACCTCTAAACAATAGTACTTGAAGATCTGATGGTACCCTGATATAATAGCAGATGATGACTCAAGAGTATCTTTAACAATAGAACTTGAGAACTCAAGGGTACCCTCATATAATAGGAGATAAAGATCTAAGGGTACGTGTATACAATAGGATTTGAGGACCTAAGGGTACCTCCATATCATAGGAGAGGAGGATTCATAGGTATCTGTATACAATACGAAATGAGGACTCAAGAGTTTCTTCATACAATATCAATACTCATGCTGTTCAATACCATATGATATAGGTATTGTTACATACCTACTCTCGATCTTATATTGTATTGATTGTTGTATTATTACTTTATTATAATAAAAATTAATAGTCATTATTACTTATTAGTTTATTCTAATTACTTTTATTACTTACATGTTTTATTTCTTTATGACTGATAATAAGTAATAAAGTAATAATTATTATTGCTAATTACCGAGTAATAGTAATAAAAAGTAATCAGTATTGTGCCACCTGTTCTGACGAATAAAAACGTGTAATTCATTCTAATAAATGATGAAGGTATTGAATATTAAGATAATGATGATATAATCGTGCACAATCGTAAAAACGATCAAGAAGCGTAGCACCATGATGAAACTCATTAATATCAGGATTAGTGTTCTAAGAAAAAACAAAGAATTATGCATGACATCTGATGAAAATTAGTCGATTTTACTTACAAGCCAATGATCAATAAAGTATATCATTGTTTTTAGATCACTATATTGACTAATTGTTAATAAAAATGGACCTTTTGGTTCATTTATCTTTTCAAGTGTACATCTATTTTCCATTTCAAAATTGAATGATTTATAAATTATTTGAATGTTTTGATAGATAAGCATAGTGAAACGCTGTATGTCCATTTAAACCTTCGGCCATTAAATTTATCTGAAAATTTAATACTAAATGTTGAACAATATTAAGTTTATCTTGTATGCATGTTAATATTAACCCATTTGCCACGATGTGGCTCACCGGTGGGCCACACTATAGTTTAATGAGAAACTGTATAGCAGAGCATTTTCTTTTGCTTTATGCTTAAGCAGCAGGATGTGGTTGTGGGTATGAGTGTGGGGAGAGTGTGTGACTATAGGTGTGCGATTTAAAAGAAGAGAGATATCCACCTCTCTCTCCCTCCCGTACATCTACACCCATCCCCACACCCGCATCCCGTAACACAACCTACCGTGAAACTTGTTCGCTCTCCTCGCTAAAGAAACCAGCAGTAATGGCATGAATTCTTTTGGAGAATTTGTATACATAATTAACTTCAATCACCAGCAAAGCATGGTCGCCAGTGGTGCTTATCAGTTACGAATTTTCACTTGTAAGATATTATTTGAGCCAAAAAGGAATCGTAAGAGATTTAAATTATCCTTACAAAGTTTTGGAGAGCTATCGGGTACAGTTCTAAAAGCCGACATGCCCGAGAGTCTAGCCAAAGTAGTTGTCTCAGAACATATGTGCCCTTCTAATTAAGAACATTATCTAATTTGGGAGTGCATTCTGAAGCCAAGAAGCCAACCGAGGACGAAAATCAACCGCAACTGCTATAAAAATACGTGCTGGTCAATGAAAAACTTCAGAATGATAAAGAACAACTAGTGAAAGCTGGACATGAAGTTTGGCTTAACGGAGTTCTTACTAAACACAACCAGTTCGATGGACCTTGATACTAAGATTAAAGTTGATAATCTGACTGAGTCTGTGACTGAGATAGAAGAATGATGATTTGGACTGCAACTTAAGCAAAAACAGTGACTGGAAAAGGGATCTTAATCAAAGCAAGGATACACACGACGATGGTAGCCGAGGCAGCTGTTGAAAGTGACTCCCCAGTCTCTGTAAGGATCAGAAACGATCCTGAGGCCGACGATCCCACCCAAATGTCAATGTTTCACGACGAGCATGTTTATGAGTAGGAAATACTTTCAAAAGTAGCAGTAGAAACCAATCTTTTGTGTCGTAGGCAGAAGGTGCCGTTGAGCTTGGTTTTAACAAAATCAACGATGTAAAGTAGCGTACTATTCCCCATGAAGCCTGTATATTTTACCTATCCTGTGCAACGAAGGGAAGAAAAATAAATAAAGCCGTGATATAATGCACATTTCTTCAACAATCGATTAACTTTGTCTATCTTCATTGTTGAAGCTGCCTGATCGATAAGTGATAGAACAAGCAAAAGAATAATAATATTTTCGTTGGAAGAAACAAAGTATGACTCAATAATATATGATCATGCTTTATCCCACGTATACGGTTGAATGCACGCAAGCCAAAAAATTTTTCGATATGTACATAAGCGAAATAATGCTTTCATTTTCTTTTTTAAACAACGTCGATACATTGCCAACATATTACATTTATTCTCGCTAAATTATTTGCATCAATACAAGAAGTAAACGTAAGCCTTTTGATATTGCAGTATCTTTCTAAAGTCTTTTTACTCTATCAGTATTCAGAAGATTTTTCTGTTCTTAAGCAGTACTACTAACGCAATGGCGCTTGCTTTATATTCATATTTAAATCATTCAGATGGGACTATCAGATTAGAATAATCATCAAAGGATTCGTGCTCTTGTTGAAATTCGTACAAAACTTCTATATTGTAAAGTAGAATATAAGTTACATTCAACTATCACTTTTTTATTCTTTAAAAATAAGATATTCGAAACACTAAGAATAGGAAACTTGATTTTTTTTATTACAAAATCGAAACTGAATTCATATGGACATTTTTAGATTTTCGGATTCTATTTAGCAATTCGAGGATTTTTTAAAGAGGCGAAAATCGAACTTTACCTTCATACCATAACGAAGTCTCTTGTATTTATTGTCTTCCATACTAAGAATTTATTATTTAACACGAAATAAAATGAATAAACTTAATCTAAATTTGAATAAATTCATGAATATTCAATTCATATAAAAGCGTCTAATGAAATAAATGAATAATTGTCATTTAAATTCTTCAAATATAAACTAACTTACCCGACAAATAAAAAGAAAATTTATGAACTCATTATAACTGCCGGAGAAAATAATCTATATATGGCTATATTCTGTAATTCCAATTTTCCAAACATTTTTTAATTCAAGAAAACATACTTTTGCGTAGCCAGTGTGTTTCATTCATAAAAGGACAAAATTATCAAGATATTTATAAAAATCGCAATATTTTGTAGTCAAAATGTAGCCCAAATCAAAAGCGATCGGAATATGTATAATACATATATATTGTAGAGAATTTTGATGTTAATTTTGAAGATTTTCGAAGTATCTTCTAAAAAATGATTTTTTGCAAAAATCCTAATTTTTATGGTTTTTCTGAAAATTATCAAAATTTCACACTCGATATGTCCCTATTTATAAATGAAATTTATAAAACTG